ACGATGCCGACTACGATGCCGGCGAAACGTCTGGGAATGTACCACGTCCACAGTCCTACTCTGGAAATGAGGGTGCATACACTGGACCCCGGACTAGGTACGTTCCTCTAAGTCTTCCTACTAATGTGACCAAGTTGCGAAAATAAGGTCAAAAACTGCTTTAGAGTTGCTTGCTACCGACAAAAACTTTATTTTAAAATAGATTATTTTTACCCTATTTTACTTCCATAACAGTTAGTGTGAAGTCAAGCTTTTACCGCCATTAAGCCTGTTAGGCTCTACTGATGCGATCCTGCTTAAGTGATTCCCTTAAAATGCGTATTCCTTATGGGTTGCCACTCAATGAATAGTGAATAGCTAATCTTAGTCTATCACTTCAAAAAATAAATCAACACAACTGGTCTTATCCACTGGGCCAATAGAAGGCAGCCATAAAGTGAGACAGTGATATTCTCCCAAAGAAGCGAATTGTGATGTATATCATCCATCGTGATCTTAGTTTCTTACAGGGCAATCCAGAACAATGCAAGTCAATCTCGGAAGCAACGACATATATGCACATATGCACATGGCTAGAGTGAATGAATCAGTAGAAATGGGTCAAGGGCGAATCCTTACAGTTTGGGGATACGCCAGGAAGTACGCCACTAGGGCTAAAACCATAGCTTAGCTATTGAAAATCAAGGCTTTTCTGCTATTGATTATCCTTTGCCAAGGATCATTTTATCCACGTGCCTACTCTTTTGCGATGACACAGTTAAGCATTGCAATATTTATTACCTGTTGCCGACACCTCACTTTGCCTAGTGGGCGCTGATGGACTTGAGATAAAGGGTAGCATAAACCACACTACGCAATTGACTTTAATATGCAGGGCTTCATCAAGATACTATGCTTCTTTAGACTCGATTCATGCTCTTGATGTTTGTATCCTTAGTGTTCAATTGTTAGCCCATAATTAGGGCTCAGCGTCCAAATACGTGCTGGATACAAGTATTGGCTGATTACTGACCTTATTCATCCTTACTAATTGCGCTATACAACCTCTTATATTATACATTTTCATTCGTGGGTTTAGTAATAACATAATAATTCAGCTGAAATGATAGATTTCGTTCTCTTGTTCAGCTTCGCTCATGGGAATAGTGTTGCAACCGTTCTATTAATTCGCGATATAAGAAATTCATTCAATAGTTTTGGTGATTTTTAACCTAATATCGGCTCCTACATTGAAGGCTTAGCTACAAACTAAAGCTTCCATTCAAAGAGTCTTTAAGTTTATGGTTTAAAACCCGCAACCAGTCAAGATTAATGGTCGATTTGTTAGGAAATGCACTTATGTTTTAGGAGAATAATATATGCAAAGTAAAGTTGGGTTTCGAGGAATCTCTTCTTTCATAATTGTTGAGTCTACTCCCATTTAGAGTGAAAGTGAATTTCATGACAAAATCAAGCCTTCTTTTCAATGCCTCATAAGTAGAACGGCCATCAGTACATTTAATTTCATACGAAAATGGTGATAGTTATACACAAAAGTTAGGATATGGTGAGAAAATTTGTATCTTAAAAGCAAATATTTCCAGTAATTAATAAATCAGCAGTGTACTCAGATTTCTGAGAAGATGTACTGTTTGTATGATGTCGCAAGGATAGTGACATAATATAATTTTTAAATGCTTTTCTCTTTCAGTGGAAAATTCGGGGAAGTCAAGCGATGTCGAGAACGCGAAACTGGCCTTGAGTTTGCTATTAAATTAGTACCAATAAACAGTGCCGAGGACAAACAAATAGTGATGAATGAGATTCGGATAATGAACAGGCTTTATCATCCCCGATTGATTCAACTTCATGATGCCTTCCAGACGCCCCAACAGATCGCTATGGTAGTAGAGCTGTGAGTACTAATCACTTTTATTTCCTTCAAGCATATTCGTTGCAAATTAACTTTGGGAGAGGACTTTTACTGTGTTGCTACAGAAAGTTAAAACTTTGATTGACTCAGAAATCTTGCCTTTTTTCCACCAGTAAAATTATTTTTGATACGCTTTTTCTATAAAGTTTAATAAAGGTTCGTAGAAGTTGCAGCGTCCTGTAGACCTATTCCGATTTTCATACTCCATGATGAATTTGCAAGTATATGCGTGCTAAACCTATCATGAAACATATCTATTTTAGGTAGTCCAATTCTCTTACATTTTTATTGGATATAAGTTGCCTTTAAAATTTATTTAGCTAGCGAACCGAGATTATGATTTTCTGAAACTTTTGTTTTAGAAGAAAGCTTTGGTAATTGGTAAGCTGGCACCTTTTCATTTGATGCCTAAACTTTGATCCATCCTCCAAATTATGTGCTTTTGTAACTTAATAGGCTATTACATAATTACTGGGTTGGGTGATTGTAGCTAAATTGATTTTACGGCGACTAACTTGGTTCTACAGCTGAGAGGTAATCTAGGTTGTGGAGGGGTAGTTAAATTCGAAATGCTGCTATGCGATCTTATTTATTCTAGCACAAAGGGAGGATTTTTTTGCTACTTTACGTTGTCATTTTAGTACTTATATTGGCAGAGTTAATTTTTTGCCGAATCGCACCTCACTATGAACAGGAAGTAAAAGGCAAGGTGAAGTTGTGTACTTCATTAGACTTTAATTTTGGGAATTCATATAAAAAACAAACGAGAAAATGGGGCCTAGTTCTAGATAAGTCTATTAAGGAGAAATAATCAAAATTGGTTGTGTGTTGAATATGTGATATAAAGGCTAAGGTAAAGGTTAGACAGGGTAATGTTTATGATAAACCGGCCGACGGGAGTATTCATAAGTTCAAATATTTCAGTATTCATGTTTTTGAAATTCTATTGTACGAAATCTTTATTGTTTTAGTTGCAAAATATTTCTAAGATAGGGCAAGACATTGAGGCGAATGCAATATCACAGTATATTTTCAAGCAACTTTTTTAAATACCCAAATCGGCTCCTCGCTTACATTTACAAAAATCGCTTTCGAAATTTCTATTTTAGCTGATAACTTTAAAAGACTATGCAAATATAATGAGCATATTTTCCCAGAGTTAAATTCTTTAATTTGCATGAGGGGAAGTTCCCTTTCTTAGCTAGAAGTGCGACATTAGGATTTTCCCATTTTTATGATTTCGATGCTTTTTCTTATGGTCTCCAAACATATGGGCTAGGCTCTGAAGCATGTATTTAAACCTTTTTTCAGGTCTTTCGTTCCGAAAGTAATAGAATCCCTCCATTTATGTTGGGCTTTTAGAAATGCTATGCAAGTCCCTGATGTACTCATTATTTTTATTGTTATTATAAATTCACGTATTATTATCATCACCAAATAATTATCTATTTCATTAGTTAGCTTTAAGGACTTTGAACAACCATTCTTATATGCGCCTTGAATACTTGTAAATCATTGAAAGCCGTTGCAGAAATTAAGGTTTTGAAGAATTCCATATTAAACTGAGAAGATCGGGAAACTAGTAATTGATATTGTGGCGTGAACAGGGTCTTTGGGATATTCAGTAGTGAATTTAGTCTCATCCTGGTTAGCTTAATTGTGGCATGGCATAGTCAAAATGCTCATAGTATTATTCTTATATATACAAGTGACATCAAATTTGCTAAACAAGATACCAAACTTCACAAATCAAAGTTAACAAAAAGTATCAGCTAAGAATTCTTTGGCAGAGATGAAGACCAAGATAATCTGGCCCTATACTTGGTCTCTTTTCATTATAAAACGTTGCTTTGACCTAGTTTTCTCAGCTTTGTTTTGGTGCTAGGGAGATATCGAGGAACAAATCCGATTATATTTCCTCTGTCATCGTAGTCGTGATACTTTTCGGCAATGGACAGCTGATAAATTCTCAAAAGTCCACCATAGTCGTCACAAATGACATCGCCATTGATAAGGGCTAACATAGAATTACTGCTCGTGGGCGACATCCATATTCTAACCGCTTTAAAAACAA